CAGATATACTTATGTGGTTTCAATAAGTCATGGTCCATCTGAGTATTGATGATCTCCCTGAGTAAACAACGAATAAAAAGAGAAGAAACAGAAACTATGTTAATATTCCTCACATTCCTCTGTTATTTCCATCAACAAACAAAAACAGAAAGTTAACTACAACATGAATATTTCTTGCATTCCGGTGTTAACTCTGCAACAAAAACAACCAGGAATGCACACATATCTTTCAATGCCAAGATGAAATCCTCCAAAAAATTAGTTCTTTATTTCTTGCCATTAAAATATAAAATGTCATGAAATGGAAAGTCCAGCATTTTCAAAATGCAAAGTTTGAGACATTGGGGAAAATGCAAGACAAAATGTAATATCAACAGACATATGTTCAACAATGTTAAGTTCTACAGCAAGCTTGAGCAGTAGACAAAACCCAGGCCAATGATACAAAAGTGTGTGCATGTCCCCAAATACTGTTGTCAAATGTGCAACTCTTATACAGTTAAAGTAACAAAATGACCCAATCAATGCTAGCAAAATAACAAGGTTCCATGTCACCAAAGTAACACACAAAAACCAAGATCACTTATGTGACCCAGATCAGTGAAATAATCAAGATCACCCTGTGAACTAGATCAGTTACTTCAGTAACGAAGACCACACTGTGACCCAGATCAGTTACCTCAGTAACAAAGACCACTTTGTGATCCAGATCAGTAAAGTAATCAAGATCATCTTATGACCCGATCACTTACCTCAGCAACAAAGACCACCTTGTGATCTAGATCAGTAAAGTAATCAAGATCATCTTGTGACCCAGATCAGTAATCAAAATCACCTTGTGACCCAGATCAGTTACGCAACTAATCAAGATAACCTCGTGACCCAGATTCTTGTGACCCAGATCAATTGAAAATAACAAAGATCACCTTGTGACCCAGATAAGTTACCAGAGTAACCCAGATCACCTTCTCAAGAGCACCTTGTGATCTAAATCAATGCTACAAAAATAAAATGACCCCTGTAATTGCTACCAAGCAACTCTGGATTGTAGATACCAAAGTAAGAAACATGAGCCCTGATTACCACAATAACCAAATGGTTCCCATTCTGTTACAGTAACAAAATGGCATCACTGCTAGGGAGTAACAAAATGACCAAATCGCAATACCTTGTTCTCGTTCTCTCTCACAATATAGTTACAAACTGGTAACTATGCTCGCGGAATAAACATTCCTACAAGGTGTTTATCTCTGAACTGAACAATCCGGTCAGTTATAAAATATTACAAAAATGAAATTCATGCAACACAGATACAACGTCAACATGGCTTTCATGATATGATTGATAAACAACAGGAAAGTGTGTGCCTCCAATAACAAATGACCGAAGTTTTGATAATACAGAGGGCGACCATCTACTGACAAGGGCACTTGTAAAACAAAAGGCAATGCCCTGCCATGGTTATATTGTGGCTGAGATTCACATAAAGCAGGGTCACCACATGAAATGACTAGCTTTGTCTTTTGTCAAGGGCCTGTGGTGTCAATTTTATGAAGCTGAGCTAAACCCAGACTAATGTCAGTAGTCCAGACAGAACCGCGACCGCAAAAAGAACTTAGTCCCGCTGTGGTCGCTAGTCAGACAGCGCCCTACATTATCCAGTGAAGCATTTTAATTTACAAATAATACATCGGAATTTTTGAAAGAGTCACGTAACTTTGGTTACCAAACACTTTCTTCCCTACATTTGCAATCTGTAATCCATCTTACATACCCACCCTCCATGTAACCATCATCTTTCACACAATGTGAAATGCCCTAAAACCCAAGTTTCCTTGCACATATATGCTCAGGTTACACCGGTATGAAAGGGACATTTGTCTGGTTTGAATGATAGAGATTATAAGGAAAAATAGCTGGTCCCTCAATAGTCAGTCTAGTTCGACTACATAAATTAAACAGAAAAAGGCACATTTGTTTAAGAACATGAAAACCATGTGAAGCGTTTACATACTGGGCTGCATGGGAAACTGAAAAATATGTGGACACAAACAAATACTTCTAACCTGTGTTTTTTTTTAGATAGAAAACATGTTATTAATAATTGTTCTTCAGGTCTTTCAAAAACTGACATCACAATCTATTAGCTGCATGTTTTTTTTGACAAGTAATTTTCTTGATAAATCTATAAAATATTTACTGCAACTTTTCATTCCATCTGACTAACAGTAATGCTTGAATAACTTTATTTTAGCACATAAGCATTTATTATCAACTGGGCATTACGTTTCCAACAATCAAACTCTCCCAAAAATTAATTGGACATGAAGGTAGATATAAATCTAAAGATAATGCCAGTCACACAGGCTAGCAGGTGACACACCAGCTACTCCTGTGTCAGATGTCCATCTGAAACAGTTCCCCAAATATTTAACAGAATGACTAGCACAATATGCACCTACAATAAAGACAGAAAAAGAAAAACAAACAGTGATGACAAACAAAATCCTGTTACTTGCAGAAGTAGACTTATCAAGTGGGCTAGAAATGTAACTGCTGCTTCAATGAGCTATAAACAAAATCACTCCTTAATTGCCCTAAAGATGGTTTTGTTGGGCAGCAGTACAGAGGAAGGCTGCATAATTGGGCACAGGCTCAGCTGCTTTCTAAAGACTGTTTTAGTGGACAAGTGCTCCAATAACTTAGTGTTGCAAAACCCAGTGTCCGACACTTTCAGTCGGCTACAGCTCCAATATTTTAGACATTGCGGGTTGCTGAGCAAACAGTCCTTTTACGGGCAGAGGTCTCAATGCTGCAATAATTACTTCACTGGACTGCAATGCGATTTTCCTATGCTTGCCTCAAACTTGCACAGCGATCATACAGAACCCCAAGAAAGAGTCTTATGATTCTGACACTTATTAAAGACCATAATTTCAAAGTGTACCCATACCTAGCTTGGGAGAGGAAAGACTTTTAACATATACAAATATAGACAACAATAAAACATTAAAAAACATTCATCAGTTGCCTGACAAATAATTCATAGACAGTCAATGACTAAAATACACCAGGGAATGGTCCTCTTTGATGTTTTTATATAGTGGTGACAAATATAGCGTGGTATGATTCCTGCTCTCCTGATCAATTTTACTAATTGCTGATCCGTCAAAGAAACAGAAAATCTAGAAAATGGCACATTCATTTTACAAAATCAAAACTGCACACAAAACTACCAGTATTTGGGTGATCAACACAATAGAACACTGTTATTTTACTTGTTTTGTTGATTTTCTTCGTTTCATTTTGCAATTCCCATATCCACATCCGCAATAACAATGCAATATTTGGGCAGCCTTCAATTTATGACATTTATTAAAGTGTTTCCAGTTGGACTGAAACATAATCTAGTCGAAGAATTACAATTAAGTGATATCAGAACTTCAGGCAGCTCCTTGCTGGATGTTTCCCTGAAAACGAGTTATAAAGAACAATTCACATCAATTACGAAGTGACAACCGCATCATCAAAGTGGAGTCAACACTGAGCCGTACAAGCTGAAAGAGGGTGTACAAGCCAGCAGCTAATGAAGACACATCAACTCTCCCTCCACCTTAAACACAAACTGTATCTCTCCACTTCAGAGACAGCCACCTCCAAACTATCTATCTATTCTCTGCTAGTTACCTCTGATCTCTTTTCTTTATCCTTCCTCTCTCTTGCAGCTAGCTACCTCTTCTCTCACTTCCTTATCTTTCCTCTCCATTGCAGCTAGCTACCTATCTCACTTCCTTATCTCTTCTCCTCCCCTGCAGCAATCATATTCTAAGTACCTCTAACAATACACCCCCTAATGTGACCAAGTTCAACCAAGTGAACTTGCACACTATTTCGAGCAACACATAGCTCAGGTTGCAACTTTTATGCAACAATAAAGAAATTACAAATTTTCAAACTAATTTTATAATAAAGCAATACAGGTTCACAGAAGCTCACAGCAATAGTTACACGGATAAATTTCCCAACACATCAGTCGGATCTATGCCATTGTCTGTTTCACGTCAAACAATTGACAAAATACACAACTTAATATACTTTAGTTACTGTATAGCTGAGACAATGGACTCAAAACTGATCATAAATGTACACTTAAAAAATATTTGTTACTCAAATGAGTCTTAATTTTATTAAGATTTTTCAACTGAGCATGACATTTGAAGATTGTCCAACAAGCATGAAATGAAGCTCAGGCATTTTTCTAACAAGTCCGTTCATTCTTAGTTTGATATAAATAACAGAAGCTCTTAATATTAATGTTATATGTTAACAGGTATCATTTCCCGCAGTTGAGAGTTGTCACTCCCTGCTGCCTGTAAATGATACCAACTGGTATGCATCGGTTTGTCCATGTAGGCACAGCACTGATGATGTATATTTTCCCCGTTGTGTTCCGGTTTGGCCACAAAGACCCTGGACATTGGTGCCAATGTAAACGGGTGGTAGGTCACCACCACTGAACACCTCGACACCAAGCAACTCATCATATGCCAGACAAGGAAAACCACCAAACATCTACAAAAGTATACTTTAGCTATTTAAAGTGAAATTTGCTTGATTCATTCTTGCTCCACAGGAAGCAAATGGCCCTATGTTCTTAACTGCTACTGCAAACAGCATTCACTTTTCTACCGACAAATGATTAAACCAGTGTGCTGACCACCTTCTGATGAACTGCTTGGTGTGGGAGGCCAATGGCTACAGGGCTGGCACTGCTGCTGGAACAACAATGCTCCTAACACTGACAAAACTGCAATCCGCAGTGAACTTCTTGCTGTGACTTGCATAAACTCAAATCCATCAAACTTATTTTCGCTATTTTTTTTTTTTAAACACAAACTCTTCCAAGATAGATTACACACACACAAAGTCAGTCTAGCTAGCTTCCTTTGCTACAAGCTGTCGTTGACCATTTCTGCAGTTGCAGCCAAAGGGAGCTAGGTTCAGTTTCCCCACCAGTCATTAGTCGGGGCTGAACTGTAGGTTCCTCCATAACTGCCTCCATGGTTGAACTGGGGTGGTGGGTAGCTGGTGAAGTGATTGTTGAATGGCTGCTGGCCACCAAAGCCGCCGCCACCACCTCCCTGTGGAAACGGAGCCTTGGGAGTTTTGCTTTGCTGGCGATAATCTCTTCCTCCAAATCCTCCTCCGCCTCCTCCTCCACCATTTCCAAATCTGTCAACAAAGAAAACAAAATTGGTCAGTTCTGATAAAGGAACTAACTCTTCCAAGTAATTAGCAGGCAGTCATAACAAAGAAAACAAGCCAGCTGCAGAATGTCATTGAAGCAATCATAATGCTGCACTTTGACAAAACGTCAAGAGATCCTACTCCTGCAGACTCAGTTCCAGCTGATGCCGTTTGCCTATGAGTACAGAATGAGAAATTCAAAACATTGTTTTCCCAGTGCGATCTTAAACAATGAGGGCAACTATCGATGACATCAAATTTCTTGTCATTGAATGATGAAGACAAGTAGTCAAAAGAAGAATAGGTAACCTATGGCCAAGGATTAATTTATAAGTAAAGCCAAGAATTAAGCTGAACGTAAGCTCTCATTGCTCTGAACATAGACCTAAAGGTTTCATTCATTGCCTATTACACAACAGTCCTGTCCTTGGTCTCCTCTCAGTTAAAACTGACAAAACGAGCTGAGTCATGAGGTGATAATAAATCTATACTGCCAGAAAACCGTGCTGATCTATGTTTATTATCTTGCCATACATATACAAGAGATAATTCAGGGATACTTCCTGTGTACGTTCCGAAACCCCATTTTCAGTATAAAAAAAAAGGTTTCCCTTCAAAGCTTAAGAAACTAGGAACTAACAGTTCACGTACGAAGCTACATCTGCAAAATGGATCTGCACAATAAAATGCAGAAACAGTTACAGCTTTCCCCACCGGAGTTTACAGTAAGTGGACACTAAGAAGATTTGTTGGGGGGGAGAAGAGCTTACATGGCCTGTTATCCTGCAGGTAGAACCTCAACCTAAAATAAAGCTACCAATAATAGACGCAAGCACATTATCTTCAGTACAACAATGTGTTTCCAATTGAGAATATGATTCTGAAGAACAAAGGAGCAGACTCGAATGACCATGTTTACTAAATAGCAAATTTAGTGAATCCTTTATAGCATGCATAGCGTGCATCCTTAATTACATATCCTTAAAAATTAGCTTCAGTTATATGAAACAGGTGTGTCTGGAAACAGCTGTGACACTCATCACTGAAATGTGATGTATGTATGTATGTATGTATAAAGGCACAACAAAATGATGATGATCTACAGAACGTGTTCTGATGTGATTTTTCAAATGCCAGCTTGTAATCACTACACACTATAAGTTGTCAAAAAAAAAAAATGACCATGTTTACTTAAATAGCAAATAAAGAGAACCATATGAATCATTTAGTGCATAAAGTGTGCATCCTTTAAGTTAATAACATCTTGAAAAAATAAATAATCCCAAAAATAAAAAAAACATTTCTGTACCCACAATTTGCAGTTTTGGTTATTCGAAACAAGTGTCTGGAAACAGATGTGACAACCAGGACACTTCTGGGGTTGGCAGCAGCGGTGAAAAGGAAAAAAAAATGTGATGTGTGTACAAAGGCACAACATGATGATGACGATCTACATAAAATGATTTTTAAACAACAATCGAGAAACTACACACTGTAAAGTGTTAAAATGAGTCGTAATTTTTAGAGAGAGAAAAGTGTTTACCTGCGGACTCCGCCGCCTCCACGCCTGCTACCCATAGTAGATCTTATATCCAAGGAGGACATGGACTCTAGCCAGGGTGGAACATCTTGGTTGGCTTCACTCAGCAGATCCAGTAGATCCCTGACAATGTTCTTGTTTTTCTCATTGAAGAATGAAGTGGCCAGACCTGTAGGAAACAATATCACCTCATCATTAACACAAGACTAGGGTATTAAATACCATAAACAGGAAACATTCTGGACAACACAGTCGCAGATTATATACATTTGAGGAGGAACAGAATTCCTAAACAGCTATTTAAATCTTATCTTGATATACAGAAGTGAATATTAAACAGTAAATTAGTGAAAACTTGGAGGCTGTGGAGATGTGGTTGTATAGATGAATGATGAGAATACTCTGGACAGATCAAAATGAATAAAGATGGGAAAAAAAAGATGCTGGACAGTTTGACATCATGGCATGAAAGATCATCTGTATTAGAGTTGATTGAAAGTACACAAGGCAGAAGGTTGCGGATGGACATGACTACCAACACCATAGGGCACCGACTTTAAGAAGATGCATATAAAGGTTGAAATTATAGACAGGTATGTATGTGATAATGTGGAATTTGATGGGGGACAGGGTAATAGTTAGATAATACTGTCAGACAGATTTAAAAAAAAAAAAAGAATAACCATGGTATGCTGATACATTGTGTCTGTCAACTGCAAATAATGCCCTAGACTTCTTTAGCATCATCAAGCATCCTCTGAAAATACATGGCTATATACATTTTTTCTCCAATATTTTGAAATGACAGGACAAGAACTTACCCAAATTGCCGACACGGCCAGTACGTCCAATTCTGTGCACATACTCTTCAATGTCACCAGGCAGATCAAAGTTGATGACATGACGCACATTGCTGATGTCCAAGCCTCGAGCTGCCACCTAGTTGAGCACAAGCAGATACAAGAGTTTTATGACTAATTAAACAAGCTCAGAAATGAAAGGAAGGTGGCCATCCAGCCCACCTAACCTTTCTGTGACCTAAAGGGAGATGTGAACCAGCGTCATATGTGTGTATATAAAAAAGATAAAGTCAGGACATGAAAACCAGCGTCATTGCACACGGTTATAAACCAAAAGTGCTCTGCCACCAGTGTGGATAACTGATAAGAAACTGTCCGCCTGTGTCGCCGGCCACACGCAACTCCGTAGCTACGACGACGTTTCTCAATTTACCCCAGAGTTTTAACTCTGGTACCCATTACCTAGAGGCTGGATCAACCCTAGAAAACGGGCTAGATTTAAACACCGGTGTGGGCTGCAGTGAGTCGCAGCTGGATTTAAAAGTCTCCTATCCACTGCACTAACACGTGACCTAAATACTAAGTACTAGAAACTTGTGTATATTATTATTACCAATTAGTTGTCCCTTTATCTACAATCAAGGTAATTATGCAGTATTTATTCTATACTGTCAAAGCTGATCTTTTAACAATGTCTACATTCTAGAGATTAATATTCTATCTGGTTTGTCAATGACTGACAAAGCAATTCCTAACCACTGCATCTTGTGGGGCAGCCAATAATTCTAATGCTAGCTGGACCATGATCAACTGACACAGACCTCTTCAAATATTTTTGTTAAACCAAAAAGCAACATTGTATTAATAACACATAAAATTTATCAATGGTTAAAGTAAAAATGGATCTTACAGCTGTGGCCACAAGAATAGGACGGTCTCCAGATTTGAATATCCTCAATGCATCTTCACGTTCTCGCTGAGAGCGATCTCCATGGATGCTGGTAGCAGGGTAACCTTCTCTCAACAGGAAATCCTCCAAAGAATCTGCTCCTTTCTTTGTTTCCACAAAAACTAGTGTCAGAGACTCTGGTCCTTGGAAAGACAAATTACCATTCATTGAAAAAGTCTACTTACACAAAGCACCCAATTTTATTAAAGCAAATAAAATTAAGAAAAAAGGGAATGGTAACAAAGAGCAATGGTATATCAAGATGTACAGTTTGACATGTCTCACATACTCTAGATTATGGCATGACAAGGTGAAATGATTAGAACTACTCAGTGCACTAACTGTCAAGTCACTTACTTTCACTAAAATCTTAGCAGACAAAATATTACTACGGCTAGTCCATTCACACAACAAATCTTCATTAACTATTGTTCTCGGGTCAACACAGATTCATCAAATTTGTAGCAGAAAATTGTATAAAGTTTCACCTGGAGGCTGACATAGATTTAATCAAATTACAGCAGAGAATTACCAAACTACTGAACTAAAGCTCCCTAGTTAAATAAAGTCAGCCACAAATACTGGGGTTGGTTCTGTAATGTCCTGTAAAGGGTGCAAAAATAGTTTTTTTTAAACCAAAAATATTCACATCATATTTTCCATGTTACAAAGTTCTTCATTAGACTATCAAGTTTTGACAAAAAAATTTATGTTTAAAATATTTATAAGAAAAATCATTTTAAACCTTACAAAATACATTCAAATTAAATTCTTATTAGGAAACATTACACAACTGATATAAAAACAGTAAAAAGAAACTAACTCAACAATAGAACAGAAAAATATTTAAAAATCTCCACAAGAGAATTGTCCAACAGACAAAACAAAACAGTGGGTATTAAAATATCATAGCCCTGTCTCTAAGATGACCAGCAGGCATTATGATTTGGCACTGGTTGCAACTTCTTAGTGTGCAACATTATAGGGATACTAATCTCATTTTGTGGCTAAAAAGTGAGTTTTTGTTGCTGTGTTGCCACAGTGGCATGTCACTTCGCTCCACATGGGTCAAAGGGGAGAAAATAGCTTTGCTTAATTTGCATAGGAGTGGGAGAATCACTGCGAAATTATGAGTAAGTAATATATGTATCAAAAATACTAGATGGTCGTGATGACGCAATGGCTAGCATGCCTGCCTGTCAGCAGGTATAGGCTTCAATACCATACCATTTTTTTTTAAATGAACTCCAAACAGACTACTTTTTTCTTTCTTAAAGATTTTCCATGAAAGGGCTCAAAGATAATACAATCGGTTTTTTTTTGGGGGGGGGGGGGGGGGGGGGGGGGGTGTTTAAAAAAAGCATGCTACCACTCTGAAAAAGATCTCTAATCTATACAGCGCCATGACTGCAATTTAATAAAGTTAGGACCTCAAGTCCTTGTTTTGGTCTATTACACCACTGTTTTGGAATGTTAATTAAACAAACTAGTTTCAAAGTTTTTCAATTAGAAAATAGAAATCAAACAATAAATGTTTGTGTTCTTACTTGAACTTCGAATACCACCACCTAGATACCTCGGAGAATTTGAAATAAGGGATAAAATGTTTGTTTATGTGTCTGTGCAAGGGAACTAATGCTGCAGAAGACAGGACAGGATGTGTTCATACACCATGTATGGTGGCAGCAGAGAGGAAGATAAGGCAGGCATACTGAGGGAGAAAGAGACCCCGCTGTTTTTTTTTCTCCCTTATCCCCCCCCCCCTCCTAAAGGAGTGCTAATGGGTGTTGAGAAAGCTGCAAAATTTATCAGATAACATCCGAAGGTACAAAAAGTATTCTTGAAGGGAATTTGTTTATCACACTTTGGCATTAAATTCACAAACAAGATATCAAATGGAAAGACTGACTCCCATGTTTACCTAAAAAAATTGTTCTTTTGAATAAGAGACTGGCACTAACTAAGCTAGAGAGAGTAATACAACACTTCCAGATTAGGATAATCCCTGGCATCTTTATAAGCACAGCAGCATCCCTAGATTGTATATATTATATATATGTGTATATTATATATATGTATATATTATATATTATATATATGTATATATTATATATATATTTTTGTGTATATATTATATTTATATATATATATGTGTGTGTGTGTATATATAAAATCTAGGGATGCTGAGAGAGAAAGAGAGAGAGAGAGAGAGATGAGAGAGAGAGAGAGAGAGAGAGAGAGAGAGAGAGAGAGAGAGAGAGAGAGAGAGAGAGAGAGAGAGAGAGAGAGAGAGAGGGAGTGAGTGAGTGAAAGAGAGAGAAAGAGAGAGATGACAACCAAATTTCATACCGGGCTCTAAACCACATCTTTAAGCCCATGATCTTGTCACAAAACTCGGCCACTTTATTATTTGTAAGATTTAATATTCAGAACTACTACTGGTGACTTACGAGATTTCAGAACAGAAAATTTCTTCTTCACATTCACCAGTTGTAATAGTGGCTGAAAGTTCTGGTTTTTGGTCAGACTCCATTTTACAGATCTGACTTTGTATGCATTTTCTTGGTTCCTTGCCTCTCAGACTGAAGCACTCTGACTTCAAAGGAAGCCCTTAGCAGACTTTTACAACATGCCAGTTGTGGAAGGCAGTGGGTCTATTTTAGTTTTCCTCATAATAGAACTCCGGAGGGAGAATGGAAATTTGTAACCGGTGTAGGCATGGTGCCTTCCGAGAAACCATTATAGTTTTGAATAGCAGCTTTCAGATTGCCATAAATAATACAGCATAGCAGTCAGTTCATTTTTTGAAAGTATATCATGCTATCTATGCACTGCAAAATAGGTGCACTAGTGATACGTTTGCTAGGGACGTCGAGTGACCGTTGGTGTTAGCACACTTGTTTCTGCAGCAAGGTGCCTTTGTCATTAGGAGGTGATAGGTTCGATTCCAGGCATGATTACTATTGCTCTAGATTTCTATGTTGCTTAATGTATCTTCTGATATGTCTACTTCTTCCTAGAGAGTGCCAATTATTTCTTGTATTTGGCAGTAAGAGTAAAAACAAAACAAAAAACAAAAAAAAGTATGTAACTTGAATATCTCAAAACAAATGTCTTTTCAAGATAAACTACAGGGCAAATGAAAGTGATCAGGTATAAAAGGCAGAACTATACAAAATAGATAACCATTCCGAACAAGACCATTTAAGAAAACATTAAAATTACATGTGGTATGACAAACAAGCTTATTTTAAGACTCAGATATAAAAAGGTTCTAGCTGTGCACATACACATCACAGTAAACAAGCTTACCTGCAGCATTGAGCAGATCCAACAAGAAAGATCGCTTCTCTTGCTCTTCCACCCATACAACCTTCTGTGTGATGTTTTCACTGGTACTGCCCACTCGACCCACAGCCAGGAAAATGTAGTTGTCCAAAAAGTCTCTGGCTAGCATCTGTGACATTAACAAAAAGATGTTTCAATGTAGGAAATTAAAGCAATGCCCTCAATCTCTGAATAATCTACCAGTGCCTGCTGTGTCAGCTATGGTGGCATAAGGTGTACTGGCATATTAGGAATGTGACCATTTAAATTCCATGGAACAAAGAATTTATCTTCATCCTCACATGACGTTGTACTACAAAGACAATCTCAATTAGCTAAACAATTTTCTACCCTGCAAATTCACTTATTTTTCTACTTTGTTCATATAAGACCCAATACATATGAATAATAAATGCTACCCAATCAATATGAATAATAAATGCTAACACATAAAATCGAGATTTCACAAGTACATACACAAACTGTATACCTGAATCTCTTTGGGGAACGTGGCTGAGAACATGTTTGTCTGCCTCTTCCCACTAGGAGGCATGTTGTCTTTCTCCACAATACGTCGGATTTGGGGTTCAAACCCCATGTCCAACATTCTGTCAGCCTCATCCAACACCAGAAACCTGGGAGAAAAAATATTTTTTAGATGAGCTACATGACACAGCATATTGAAAATATACATACACCCATATATATATATATACAAACACACATATACAATGAAAACCGCACAAGGAAAACAAATGTTAAAATAGTCAAATGGCAATACGGAATTGAATTAAAATAACTCCATTGAGTGGAGAGGGGCGGCACAAACTGTTGACCTAACAATTAAGTTGCAAAAGTAAGCTAGGGGCGTTTCCTTTGAAGTCGGAGTGCATCTAGCCAAACAGGTGAGGAACCAACAGCATGCATACAAATTAGCTAGATCTGTGAAACATGTGCAAGCAAAAACTCAAATTCTAGGGGGAAAAAACTCGACTTAAAGTGGAGCAACAACCGGAACAGTTGGTAAACACAAGGAAAAAGAGTTAAAATAAACAAGAAACTGAGCACTTGGCCAAGTAAGAAAAACTTGAATACTTATACTTAATAGTAATAATTATCTGCACTACTCATAAAAACATGAAAAAAGAAAGCAATAAAAACTACTTACTTGCAATGATCCAGTCCCACTTTCCCTCTCTCCATCATGTCAACCAGCCTGCCTGGCGTGGCCACTAGAAGGTGACAGCCCTTGTCCAAATCTCTCATCTGTGCTCCGATATCTGCACCACCATATACGACACACGGTCTAACTTTGGATCGGTAGGCAAACTGGAATAGAAGATGTAAACGATAAAGGAAATGCACTCATCTCTATATCTTTTTTGGTCCATGGGCCAAATTCAAAAATTATTAAACCGGTCGTGGGCCATTTAGAAACAACAAAATTTCATCCTAAATCAGTATATTTGTGGGATGTGTATAGGTCTACTGTGGGAGTAAAAGGTAATGAAATGAAACTAGTCATTAAACCTTGATATACTGACAGCATAAATTTATTCTTATGTTCTTTTCTTTCGTCCATGGGCCAAATTCAAAATTATTAAACCGGTTGTGGGCCATTTAGAAACAATCAGATTTCATCATACAATATTTTTGTGGGATATGTGTATAGGTCTACTGTGGGAGTAAAAGGTAATGAAATGAAACTGGCCATTAAACCTTGGTATACTGACAGCGTCAATTTATTCTTATGTTCTGTGAAATGAGATGCCTGAGAAAAGCCGCCAACTCAACCATCCGATACAAAGAAATTATATTATGAGACAGAAAGAATGCAGCCAGAACTACTAACGCACGCGCTACACAGGAAACAATCTGAAGTGAGAAAGCAAGAGGCTGTCCTAGGAGAATATAGACTGAAGACATTAAAGAGCTCCTACATCAACATAGAATGACAACAGCCATAGCCACCCATCAAGCAAAAGATGGCAAACTGTCACAATGATTAACGGCAGAAATGGAAATAATTGATGATGATGCCCCTCAAACAGTGTTTGCTGTAACTTGTATGTACAATGATCCGATCGATCAATAAACTAGATAGGACACAATAAAACAACAGTATGACCAGAATACCAGACACAAAAATAAAACTATTGACGTACCTTCCTAGCTTCATCATAAATCTGTGATGCTAACTCTCGTGTTGGTGCCAAAACCAGGGCCATAGGGAACATTTTTTTCCTGCCATACTGGCGACCTGCTTGGTTTGTATCTACTGGGCCCATTTCGTAGATCTGGTTCAGAATTGGTACTAAGAAAGCTGCTGTTTTGCCAGACCCTGTAAAATAATTCAAATACATTAATTAGTCTCAGCCATTTCAGTATTGTGGGTACTGACTGACCACCGTCTCCAGATCTCTATTCCAAGCCAAGCACATGTGCTCAACCAACCCACACCAAACATTTTGCCTTATTCTGCTGTTAGGGATCCTTTATCATTTTTCATGTGGGTTCCAGTGTATGAACATTTCTTATGTTCAGATCTTTTAGCTGATCTGAACTAATTTTGATGTGGTGCATAAACAAAAATAACTGGCTATAGTTTTCAAAAATATAAGAATATTTAATTAGTCAACTTGATTACATGACAATGCAGCTGTTGTGGGCGACTGCACAATCTTTGTTCTAATGAACAATACAAATGTCACTAGAAGTAGATGATTTATGCCTATGATTACATCACCTTTGTGTCCAAACATCCCATCTGATAAATTATGCCATTATAATTTGTTTCAAAAGTATCCTAGTTAGAAATGAATAGGACATGTGTGAACAGTGCTAATAATTTATGTTTCACATGTAGTAAGGTGACATTTTTATCACAAAAGCCAAATTTAACTAAAGTGTTTAAGGCATACAGTTGCAAGTTATGCCTTTAAATGTTTATAACATTGTGACTAGTGCAATCAAACATTACCACAACACAAATAGACTGAAAATATGTTTTGTGTAATCAAACATTCCCACAATACAAATAAACTACGTAAACTGTATTGACTAGTATAATCAAACATTCCCACAATACAAATAAACTGAAAATGTGTTTAGTGCAATCAAACATTCCTACAACACAAATAAACTGAAAATGTGTTATAGTGTGATCAAACATTTCCACAACACAAACTACTGAAAATGTGTTATAGTGTAATCAAACATTCCCACAACACAAACTACTGAAAATGTGTTATAGTGTAATCAAACATTCCCACAACACAAACTACTGAAAATGTGTTTAGTGCAATCAAACATTTCCACAACACAAACTACTAAAAATGTGTTTAGTGCAATCAAACATTCCCACAATACAAACTACTGAAACTGTGTTTAGTGTAATCAAACATTTCCACAATACAAATAAACTACGGAAACTGTATTGACTAGTTTAATCAAACATTTCCACAACACAAATAAACTACTGAAAATGTATTGACTAGTGCAATCAAACATTCCCACAACACAAATAAACTAACGAAAATGTGTTTAGTGCAATCAAACATTCCCACAACACAAACTACTGAAACTGTGTTGACTAGTGCAATCAAACATTCCCACAATACAAAATGAGAAATGTCACCTGTCTGGGCACAGGCCATCAGGTCCCTCCGGGCCAAGATGATTGGTATAGCAAACTTCTGTACTGGGGTTGGCTTGCTGTACCTGCTCAGGGCGATGTTGTTTCGAACAATTTCACCCAAACTGCAGTCTTCAAACTGTGGATGGAGAACACAATTTAACAATGGCTGCAAAAACTAACTGGAGGATATGATATAAAGAAGGATATTAAAGAGTTCTCTTCATTGATCGACTGACTTTTACCCATAGAAACCTCAAGAAGCGATTCCACAAATGTCACAGCAATGTAAATGAACCATGAGGACAAGTAACAAAGGAAAAAACATATTTTAGGCAGAAAACATAGACACCAGTGAAGCAGTAGTGCCGTTTTCAGGCTATACAGAGTAAAGAAATTTTTCTCATAGTGAAAGAGAAAGCAATAACAGAGTGGTGAGTTCTACAATAACACAATATAAAGAACGGATTGTGAAGGTTTCACAGGAGACAGCAAAGTGAACAAATAGTCATGATGCAAAATTGTGAATTCCTTATGTTCACAGTCGCAAGTGACCAATTGTTACAAGTAAAACAGCACAGTATGCTATCGGGGAAGAGGGGGCTAAATTAATTCACACATCAGGCATTGCTTGAGAAAAAGGGTAAAATCATCTCTAGATTATGTAACATTTTTCTAAAGATTTATCTGTAGATGGTCCTTTCAGAAAAATAATTCCTTAACATGCGAGAATACAAATTCTCAATCCCATCTCAATTTCTGCTAATAATACTCTATAACAAAAGCACTAGCCCCTCAGCCATAAAATCTTAAGCCTACGACAACCCTGCCCTATTAGGTGGTAAATTCAGACAGAAGCGTCAGTTGACAGTTACGCACTATTCCAGGTGCTAAAATAATCAATGTAAGCACAAATATAAGTGACCGATAGTCCCACAGACTTCCCATTCTCCACAAACCCACACCTCATTTTTTCCTAAAACCACACACACCCAGTCCTAAAACCACACACACCCAGCTTCTGCTTGTAATGCTAAAAAAAAAAAAAAAGCAGCAATCTCTGAGGATTTTCCAAAAGTAGAGGGTTATAATTTTATTTTAATTTATTATAGTTATCTGGGGAGGGATACTTTTTTTTAAACTAAAAGCTAAAATATATCACATAAGATTCCTCTTTTTGTTTAATTTTGCCAGCAGAATAATTCATAACTAAAAACAAAAATTATACATCATTTATGAAAATGCTTCAGGTAACATAAGTTGACACAGAAACCTACACTCTCTATGTTCTTGGGACAGTTATCTCCGCTAGCTTCAACTGGAATGTCCTCGTACTTGTCAAAGTTGATCCCACTATTTCCAGTTCCAAACAGCTCTCTGTCAAGAAATCATATAACGAATGGGGTTATTGGATATTAAACAGCAGTCTGTAGATTCTTGGTGTTTTAAAGGAAAGACAATTTTAAAAGAATTAATAAAGCTAAAGGGCTATTAAGAAGTCAAAACTGTGAAGATAAATTAATAACTTGATCAACAACACAACAAAGATACTCTGCAATGTCATACAAGATGACTGAAAATAAAATTATGTAGTTAAATTATTTTTTATAATTGGGTTCTGTAAAGTGAAAAACCATGGCTGACAATCAGAAGCAAACTACAATGTGCCAACCACCCTCTCAGGGTGAGTGCACAAGAATCAGCAGACACTGAAATCATCAAAAGCTAGAATGTGGAACAGGCCAGCTCACCAGGCTACTGCACTGAATACAATATAAGACGGAGAAATACCAAATGACTTATGTAAATTAATGTTTATTACAATCCCAAACATAATCAGGAAGTTAAACGTGATCAGCATTAAACAATTACCATCATGAGTTATATCACAAATATTTTACTAAGAATCATTATGCAAAGGATTATGAGCAAAATTGGATGAGCAAGGTGGGTTAGCAAAAGTCAAAAGCAGAACAAAGGGTGTGCATCTCCTGAGAACACTAATAGAAACAGCGTTTAACAGAAGTAAACAAAGACATTCTTCTCTGCTGTTTTTTTTATAGTTAAGACACAAAATCATAACAAATGCTTAAAAATCTACAAACTGACGAAAAAGACAATACTGATTAAAAACATACACTGGAAAACATGCTGCTAAAAATATTGATAATGAAGTCGGTATGCACCAACCAATCAAAAGAGGCGTGCAACTGGGATGTGTAAATGTCTCGAGATGATTTGTTTCTTACACCGGTGACATCTAAAAGACATGAAGGGACCCACATGGGAGGATGTAATGTCTACAATATATAAGACATATAAATGATGCTGTGTTAATTGCAGACAAAAAGAGATCTGCAGAGTTGGTGGATGAAAGAGTAGTTTACAGTGAGAAGGCTTAGGGTTAAACTGTAAGAGGAATGGAAAGTTTGGTCATCACCAGGAAGAAATAACAAAATGTGAAATACAAGCAAAAGTCAAAATTCCTTAATCTTGAAACAGTCATAATATTGCAAAAATTAAAACGATCGCTATGGCCTTTAGCAAGACCGATACAACTCACAAATACAATGTCAACTGCAGTAAGATTTAAAAAAAAAAAAAAGAATAATAAAGCTGTGAAGAACCTGTGATGTTACATGCATTTGAGATGGACAATAAGCAACAAGCTAATAAAAAATATTTACCGTGGCTTTTGAGAAGAAGGCAAAGAATATCATGAAATGAATGAGAAACACATGAAGCAGCCACTGAGAAAGAGGAAAGTCATACTTATCAGAACAATTAGAGGCAGCAGACAGCCTGTGTTTGTTTTTAGACATCAGAAAGAGTGGCCTTGAGGACTTGATAACTGGCAGGATTGATGGACAGGGAACAAGAGGAAGGCAAAGCTATAAATACCTGGAATCTCGGCCACATAGATGAGGCTAGAAAAAGAAAACTGACCTGATCTATGATTCTGGTGATCGCATGAGATGGCAAAACATGACAGCCTATGCTTACCTGCATGGCACATAAGGATAATGACACAGCAATGTCCAAGACACACAACTAATATATGAACAACTCTTACAACATAACAAAGTTAAAAGTGCTACTCACACTTCAAGTCTCTCATTCTTTGGCAGAGGGACAGACCAATCGTCAGTACGGACTTCATCGCCACCATTGTCCAAACGATTGTCCCAGCGGTTGTACCCCTGACCGCCCGAGCGTCGTTCCCGGTCACGATCTTCTAGTAGAACATCCCACCTGTTTCCACCTGATACAGGAGCAGGAGGAGTGGTGCCTTGTCTGTTCCAGCGATCATTACCTCCTCTGCAATAACAGTGCAATTGAGGTTGATTAATTTTTCATGTTTATAAACCAGATTCAGTGTCCACAAATGCACAAGGGATATGGTGATACAGTATTTGTTCTCCAATCAACCTAGTCTATCTTTTGTCATCACATGCGCTACCTCGTGACGACCTATCTATTTTCAAATTTGACTTTTCCTCTATTCTTGGTCTGGCATTTTTCTAATAACGCTGTGGGTTCCACTGCCAGGACATATAGTTACATTATTAGCAGGATTTCTCAATGTTTATCCTATTCAATGCCAGATTCTTTTTCTCACGTGTTGATTCATTAAAATGTGTTTAGTTATCTCCCAAATTCTAACATTTAACTCTATTCTGTGTAGGCATCAGTTAAAAAAATGTTTGTAATTGTAAGCATTTATTGAATTCATTATGTTTCATTTCTATACAGGATACAAACATATCTCCCATGCCACACAACAAGGAAGTTAAAGAAAAGACCAACATGTTAGCTTTTTATCTTTGCAGTCATGCTTTGCAAATAGTGCGGCTGAGAATCAATTCAATTTACCACACAAGATTTTGCCAACATAAATATTACAATCACACAAATTTCTTTCTCAAAGAATGGTTTGTGCAATTTATGGCTGAATGCATGAGCAATTAAAAGAATAATACATTGACAAAATGCCATTCTCAGCAGTCATACTTGTTTTACGCAGTACAGTATTATCTGGCTCCTCAGGGAAAGCACACACAAAAGTTACACTGCACACTAAAAAGCATGTCATAAGACACAACTAAGGGTAGGTTTGAGCTTGGGCTGATTAAAATAAATTTAAAAAGTATTTACAACTACCAACCTATCATTATATTGCTGGTAATTGCCGCCACCACCACCGCCACCTCGACTGTAGGTGCCTTGATTCCCAGGACCACGGCGGTCAAACCCACCACGGCTGTCGAAGCCACCTCGGTTATCCCGGTCATTGTACCTGAACAGACCACATAACAATTAACAAACAACGGTAATAACGAGCACTCTTTTCTTTCATAAATTAAACCATCACAAACTCAAACTTATCAGATGGAAAAAAAAGTGAACACAACTAACACAAGGCATCAGATTACTTTGTAACAGAAGTATGGATACTTAATATAAATATTCAGACTGCAGTACAGTAGGATTTTCGATCGACGTGTTTAAACCATGGCTGCCACACAGTAGGGGCTTTATTCACAATTAGTTTTTGATAAACATTATTACCCATGTACAGGAGTTTGGCTAACGAGATCCGGTTTAGGCCGATATAAGCCATCATCTGCAGAAGCAAGTACATGTGATTGGCGTCCTGCATGGAGATCCATAAACTTAGCAGAGAGACTGCTGGCACCCAAGCTGAGGTACAAAGTATTTTATTATACACACCGGCATTACCTTTACCTCGAACCTGCGAGTGTCTCTCCCCCCCCCCCCCCACCAGTAATATAACTGTTTAATATCACTGAATGATCTGTGATTTGAAGGAGGAAAAAATTATATACCATATACATATGGAAGCTCGTGAATGCAAAACCGACAGTCCTAAATCGCACAAAACAAGGTTGCCACTAGGTACTTACCCACTCCTCATGCCACCTCGATTGTTGTATCCCCCTCGGTCACCTCCATAGCCACCTCGGTCATTGAAGCCACCACCACTCCTGTCATTGTTGTAGGAGCCTGCTCTATCATTGTAGCCGCCTGCTCTATCGTTGTAAGAGCCTGCTCTGTCATTGTAAGCATGACCTCCCCGGTCATTCCCTGGGGAACAGAATTGGGAAGTTAACTCCTACTAAAGCAAGAAATAATATAATAATGACAGCACTATAACATAACACCTTTAGACATGATGTGATGGTACTAACCACATGGAGCCATAGCAGTGTGGTTGACAGACCTGCCTACAAGTCTTGAAGTTCTTCGGTAAGCATCTGCATTTTGTTTTAAATAACACTGCTTCCACTTTGATCAAGCTTAAAACAAGCACCAAATAGCATATGAAGTAAAGGTAGCCGATGTGATGCTGACAGCGTCACTGATGATCAACAGCCAACTGATATATACAAAAATTTGGTCTAGCAAGCATCATATGCAATGAAAAAGACAAGGGTCCCCTTTACTAAGTTACAACTTTTCTACATTCATAAATAGGAGCTGAAACAATACAGTGGTTGGTACAGACAGCTGCAAAATAAACAGTCTGAATATTCAGCAGCTGTTAATAATCAGCATAGTTCTTGGGGTGAGGTCAGACAAGTCTTGGAAAAAAAACCAACAACAAAACTGGTTCTTACAGACCATGCCATGTGTTGCTAATCATATCTGTCTTAAGTGTTGCCAAGTATTTCTGACAGATCTCCCATATCATGATGCCAAATTATGCAACTTTCTCTTGTGCCTCTCTTTCTCCCCAATCCCTCTTTCCTTTGTTGTCAAGATATACCCCCCCCCCCTTCCCCACCAGACCATCAATTTTGTGAGTTAATAACATATGTATCTTATCAGACCACTGTTTATCGATCTTTTATAAAACCACATTGCACCATCTCCAGTATTTCCAAGTAATCTGACTACTCATGATACACATCCATAAATCAAAACAGGATCTGTACAGTTCTTAGGTACTGTCCAACTAACAAAAACATAGAATATTCTGCATTATATTAAATGCTTTTTTCATTAGGCTAGCTACATTTAACTCCCTTAATAATTCAAAATTCCATCTCCTGTTACCAAAATATATAGATTCTGACAACAGGTTTTGAAATTAATAGATCTTTATTATATACATTATATAGACAAGAAAACTGAATTGTATTTCTTCATATGCTCTTTATGTTTAATATAACATTGCAAAATCAGCAGATTACTTTTGGTATGCGTGCAAAAAAAATTATGCTCAAATGATATTGAAAAAGTCAAATTTTATTATCCATAAAGGTGCCCATCTAATGCAAATAACAAAGGAAGGAAGAGACTAGGGGGGAAAAAAAAGAAAATGTGATGGTGTGTGTGGTGACTAGGTGAGGTGAGTGTCATTTACATAAGTGTTAAAATGTAAGTATGCTGTTGATACAACTCCTTTCAAAAAATATGGCTGCCCAGTAAAGTTAGTTTCAAGCAATAATGCAATAACTGAATTTACAGACACTGGGTTACAACACTTTTCAACAACAACAAAAACATACAATTAAATAAAGCAACAACCCTATAAGTGTGAAATCATGAAAAGAATAGCACCCTGTATGTAGAAAACAGTAATGAAGTTAGAGCTTAGAAATAAAAGACCTGGCTTCTAAATGAGGGAAAAAAAAAAAAGGACTCCTAAAATATGTTCTTAAAAATAGAGTGCAATAATAACAGCAATTAAAAGCAAGAGATAAGTAATAACTAAGATGAATTTTTTCAGAAAAAAATTGAATTTTTTTTCAAAATTGAATTTTTTCAGGAAAAACTCACCCGGCCACCGTCCTCCTTCACGAGGTGGTGGCCCCCTGCCCCCCAAATTTTCCCAATTACCTTCAGGGGGCACTGATGCGTTGGGGTGCCCTGGAGGGGGTTGGCTCAGATTAGGCATTTCACCTCCACGCTGATGTGGGGGCACGTAGCGGCTGCCACCTGCTTACAATTTAAGATTTGAAAAATAAAAAAAAAGGATAGTTCAATTACCCAAAGTTAATACTATTTGGTAATTTAGCAGCTAGTCATTAATGTTCAATATCAACAATTTTAACCAAAATATCAGACCAACTTGGAAATATTTGCTATAAGATTTAACACAACATGCTGTATTAAAGGACTAATATTATTAAAAACTATGTCCATAAAAAAAAAAAAAAAACTTAACGGGGTTGGCCTTAGTTCTATACCCTGATTATGAAGAAACTATCACACATATTTTGCATACTGTTTATATACCCCTTTAAACAGCCATGACTTGAACTGACAAATACACCATCTCTGCTTTATTTACTTTTTTAAATAAAAAAAGTAATAAAATGTCCAACAGAATCGTTCTCACAAGTCGGTATCATTTCTCAGTGTGATGATTATTTTCTTTAAGCTGTTAAAAAATGGAGCAAAAACTGAAAAATGAGTATGGTAGAATCTCACTCAATTCTTGAAGCTGTGCTTCAGAAAAAGAGGTCTTCAAGCAAAGGACAATTATGAGTATGTGCAGTCATTTTTGTAGGTTATAGTATTGTCTGTTTGTGGTAAGGACATCTGCACTGTCCATTACCTATGTTGCAGGCAATATTTCACCAGGACACCTTTGGTATGTCAAGGAAAAAACCAAAACAGTATGCTATTCTTGTAGTTGTGTGTGCTTAGCTTGATATGTGTTGGGGGCAGTCTGTGGTTTTCTCCTGCTTGGCAGACTGGTTTTCTCCTGCTTGGCAGACATTAACGGTAAACTATGAATCCCAGCTATGCTAAAAAATGGGGGTTTCTTTCTGTAATTTATCCATGTTTGCATTTGTACATACACCAATAGACATGGAGCTCAGTGGGCACACACATTTTAGTCATCTGTTCAGAAGTCTATTATTAACTGTTCTTTTACTCAGTTTTACTGAACTAGATCTCTCCACTTTGTTCAATGATTTCCTCATTACCTGCTGCTTTTTCATTGAACCCTATGAGTTTTACAGATTTTTACAGAGCAGCTACACTGTCTACACTCTATTACATAGATAAAAATAAAGAGTAAATACCATGAAACCCTAATTTTGTGCCCTTCATTTCCTTGCAACATCGTGAATTTTACCACAGGTCTAGAACTCTGGAATTTCCACTGTTCTGAAACTTCTGGTTTCAAAGGTATGTAGTGCTGTGCACCAGTTGCAGAACCCGGTAAGCATATATGCGTCTACTGTTAATTACTGTTTAGGTTGCTAACTAGCCATTGACAGGGTAAAGATTTAAGGCCAGCCTGTTTTATAAACTCAGAACATGAAACAACCAAAATAACCACAATGAAAATTTTACCATAGGCAGGGCCGTTCAAGTCCAGACCAGCAAACTGAAAATAAAGTACAAAGTAAATAAACATTATATACATATATCTATATATGCACATGTACATTTTATATGCAGAGGAATTGACTAACACAGGATGCCTGAATTTTCAAATGGTTTTAGTTTTCCTAGCCCATATCAGCATAAATATACAATGATACAAATTTTCCTGTAAAAAAGGAACTGGCTCTTAAAAAATGAAAGTTGTGATAGGAAAGATAGTATATCAGCTTATTCATTACACGTTTATGCTTAGGCCTATTTTACCAAAAATGTAACCATTTGCATATGGTATCAGCTATAAATCCGGTTCTCCTTAAAACTACGGCCACTTATTATGGAGTACGGCTGAGTTTGGTCCCCTGTCCGCATTGCAATTGCGGAGTGGAAAAGAGGGAACGACACAAGTGACGTAATTACTGTGTGTTGGTGATAGACAACGTGAACCGATGACGTTATTACTGTGTATTGGCGATAGATGCACTGCTGTCATAATAGGGTTAGGGTATTGGTACTCCTTAAAACTAAGGCCACTCCTAACCCTACCCCTAACAGCAGTGCATCTGTCGCCAACAGACAGTAATTACATCATTTGTTTCGTTCCCTCTTTTCCACTCCGTAATTGCAATGCGTCCAGGGGACTGAACTCCGCCGTACTGCATAATAAGTGGCCGTAATTTTAAGGAGAACCAAATCCATACTTTAGTCAGAACTAATTCTTTTATTTTGATCAGTTTCAGTGATCACCACAGGGAGCAATAACATAAATCTTAATAATATTGCTGGAGTCAGGAAAATTTAAATCAAAACTGATGAAACTTTTTATTTCTGACATCTGGTGCCATTTTCATCTTATATAATTTTTACTAGTTTGTAAAAAAAAATATACCCTATTTATTCTTTGAATTTTTAATCAGTCAACTTACTGACGTCCTAAATTTAAACCTGTCACCATAATTCTTTAAAAATGGTTCATGACCATAAGGGAATTCTCAAAAAAGTCTTGGGTCATATATAGAGGAAAGGTTTTAGAAAAGCATCAACATTTTTGATTGATTTTCAAAACATTAGGATTTATAAAAGGAAGTTATAAAAAAAAAATTTGAACAAAATGACAGTAAAACACAAAATGTAATAAACTCATCAGGGCCTAAAAACAAAATGATCCAGAAGTTGACTTTTACATGAACATCCGCTCTACAGATCTGGCTTACTTGTAAGCAGACTGCTGGTGCCTCACTTGGCAAATTCACTCCGACTTCAAAGGAACACCCCTAAATAGTTTACTTTGATCATATTCTTGTAAGTGGCTGCAGTGGTTTTATCCCCCTCCCCTTTCCATTCATGGGACACGGAACTCACAGGAAGAACAATGCCAACTGCTTTTACTTTCCAGGACATTTCCTGGTGCTCATTTTAGGCTAGGCTCATCTGGTCAAATTTTCCACACACAAAAACCCTGATTTAAAGTAATTATAGTTCTAGCACAGAAAATTTTGAATCCAAATGCAGAGAAATTCACATCAGGGTGAGTTTTTTTTTGGGCTCTCCTTTAAATAACGGTCGCTAGCTGGAAAGCCGACGGTCGCTTAGTCAGAGTTCACCCCCTTGGCTGCAGTGCAAACACGGAGTGGTAAAGAGGAAACGAAATAAATGATATAGTTACCTGTCATGTAAGGGTTAGGGTTTGGGTGACCTCACGGAAACGACGGAAGCTTATCGCTCATTACGACATACAGATCCGCAGGTCTCACATCTATGGTCACAAAGCCGTGCGTCGAAAGAACGTGGTCGCTAGTGCGCGTGGTTTACGAGAGTCTTGTGTCGCAAGACTGCGGTCGCTAATGCGCGTGGTCTACGAGTCTTGTGTCTCAAGACTGCGGTCGCTACTGTTAGTCGCAGCACGTGGTCTAGCTCTAGCAGGCATGTCGACCTCACTTTGTTTTTTGATTCGTGACTTGTCCGCTCCGTATTTGCACTGCAGCCAAGGGAGTGAACTCCGACTAAGCGGCCGTCGGCTTTCCAGCTAGCGACCGTTATTTGAAGGAGAGCCGTTTTTATCTCTGTAGTTGGCTACTCATAATCTTGTGTATCATGTCATGTATTTTTAGACCGCATGGCCATACAATTATATTATCAATAACAACTGTTTTTCCCCCACACCACTTGACAATATGGTGTGTGTTTTTTTTAAAGGTATTTTACCTCTTGTGTTAGCGCTCACTAGCTCTCATCCAGAGTGTGGCATCTTTAACTGATCAACTGTGATTCTCAAAACTGTTGATTTCATTATTATGCTGTTTGTGATATCCCACAAAAGCAATATATGTTTCTTAGTTTCCAATGATAACCAGAATAAATTGATGATTGATAAATAACTGTCGTTCTTGTGACTTTTGGACAGAGATGTGAGTCAGTCACACCATGAAAAAGATTGGATTCTCAGATTCTCACCATGTTACATTCTTAAAGACTTAAAAAGCTAGTTATAATACGTTATATTTCAGCCAACTTCCACTGAGGAGCCCGATACAAATTAGAAAGAAAAATGGAAGTGATTTTTTACAAACTGAAAAAAAAAAATGTATTTTTAACTTTCTCCATACAAGCGCTGTAAGTATTATTTCTTTAGACAAATTAGCACAGTACTTTCAGTGATGTAAAATTCCGCAAAATATGAAGAAGTAGTACATATGATACACAAGCCGGGTCTAAAAATTATTCTTGAACATAATTTTTCAACTCCATTTTGATTTTCAATTTTCAATGTCCACGCGGCTTATTTATCCTTTTTAACTAGAGAAAATTTCATTCAGGAACACGGTAAACAAATATAACCAAGTTTTAAACATGGAATAATAAAATTTATCAAATACTTCACTTGATTCCTTTAAAATGAACACTGCTAAAAATAAGATCATGACAAGAACAAATGATCAGTGCGCCATCTTGAATTTTCCAAAGAACGTGATTTTTTTTTAACTTTTCACCACTAAAACCAATTATTTTAACTGATCAAACATAATGATTAAATGAAAAACATTACCTGCTGCTCTAGACCAGGGCCATTCTGATTTGAACCATTAGGCATATTATGAAGCTGTGATGACACTCTTAAATGAGTAAAAGATAACGACGAGTACTAGCCTAGGTATTCTTTCAGCTATTCAGCTAAAGTAGTTACACTACGGAAAGACCACGTGACTGTGGGAGCATCTATCACGCGAAAATTTCCAATATATAATATTATATCTTATTACTCACATACAAATTCAAAACTTAACTTGCCATTTTTATTTTCTATAATTATGTCTATATTATTTTTCATAAGACTGCAACGAAGCAAATATTATGACTTGCAGTTTTTATTTACATATGTTTATTACAACAATGAACACTGTTTAACAAAGGGGGAAGGTGTAATATAGGTCACGACAATTAGGGCCACACATTTAGTGGACAAAGGTAATGATGATAAATCACACAAATTGTAACTCGATGTCTCTCGGTGACACTTTTTTTAATGGAGTAGCACCATGCACATATTCATCCAGCAATGCAAACATATATAGAAAACATAAAGACGTTTCACAGCATATATTTGTATTATAGCCCCAAAGAGAATAAATCCAAAGGGCGACCCAATATTACTTGATAAGACGTTAATTTGGTGGGCTGGATGGATTATACGCATATTTAAGTAGTAAGGCATACAAAGATCAGGGGAGAATATAAATTAAAATAGGAAAAATAAAAAGTTAAAGAGGAATAATAGCATTAAGATTTTCATGGAAGCCAAATAACAAAAATTAGTCAAGCATATAGTAATTCGATACCACTGTTTGAAACCCCGATTTCACTAGGTGGGATCACGCAAATATTTAGAAATCAATGAGACATAGATGGCGCAAAAATATATATTAAAATATAGAAAACAAAAGGTTGAAGAGATTTCAGATCACAAGGATTTTTGCTCAAGCCAAGCGAAATTAAATTTTACATTTATTATTTCATTACATGTATTGTTTGCGAATTTGCGTTTGTCTACGACATCCATTTCTTTCACGAATAGAATTCAGTTTCACCGCGGTGTTCACCTCTCCACGGCGATCTCATCCACAATGGTGGCACATCGCCCTAAGTTGGGTAGAAAGTCTATCAGAGAACGGCATCTCTCTGGCCTTGATGTAATTAACCGTGAAATCTACTTTTGTTGGATGGCTTGCCAACCTTCTCGGAGTGCAAGAGACAGCAGTTAGAGACTGACTAAGCCACGTCTTGCTGACGGTCATCCACTAGTTTTATGTTAGGGTTCATGTCTGAAGACATGGCTGGCCACAAAATGGCCTCGGTGATTGTTATTGAGGACAAACTGTGTGGTAAGTTGTGCTGCGAAATTCCCCCGTAATCCTGCTGAAAAATCAACAGTCGTGCAGCCAGAAGTGGATGGATGTGAAAGCGACGAATATTTGCGACGCGTCGTTGAGCATTCAGGCGTCTTTCAGTTGGCATCAGATTACTTCCCTTGGAGCTGATCGCGCTCCCAACATCAGTACACATCCACCACCATGTGGAGTCTCGTCCACGCAGTTCTGGGCGTAACGCTCATTGACTCTACAGTAGACCCTTCTGCGCCTGCCGTCACCCTGCAGCATAAACAATTATTCTTCACTAAACCAGACCCTTCTCCTGTTTTTCTCAAATGGTTCATTGGTATTGCTGATTTGCCCACTGTAATCGGTTTTGTTGGGTCTTCGAGCCCATAAGCCAGCGTCATGAAGCAGTTGGAAATGGAAAAAAAAAGGACTTCGTGTACTTCGCTGAGATTCTTCAGACGCAGGTTAGAATTAGAAGTAGAACGGAGCACTTATGGGTTACACCCGTGTGTCATGATGTTGATCCGTTAAAAAAACTTGAAACGTTCAAACTGCTACTCGTACCATCGGGGTTGGAACTCTTAGCTGGCTGCTGAAGATGGGGACGGAACATCTATTGGAATGTCCCGAGTGCAATAATTTGGATTCTAGAAATTCAATCGAATTTGCGACTTGAAAGAACCTCCAGCTGTAGAGTTAAGTTGACATTTATTATACCTAGAATGTCACAGATCAAACAATTAATTCGAATATTGTCGAACACTCAGTGGGTGAACAATACAATCATGTAAAAACGTGGAATATTACACTTCGCAGACATTCATTTATGTCTATTGGTTAGTTGCGTATTCTTTACAGGACGTTGCAGAACCAATCCCAGCAGCCCCTGCTTGTTGTGTGGTTTCTGTAGTCAAATTTACAACGAGTAGTTCTCCGTTGCTTTCTGGAGGTCGGCCCAATGATACCACTGTCGAAACCAACGCAAGGCGCATGGCCCGCAGCTGGGATCGAACCCGGCACAACGGCATTACGAAGCGTTCGCATCGACTTCGCAACAAAAAAGCTTAAAATATATCTCATGTTAACGCCATGACAGCAATGAGCTGCCTCTGCTGCAATTTTTAAAAAAAAAAACGAAACTAGCTGTAATGTATTATATTTATGTCCACTGTCAGGGCCTGTGGTTTAGGCATTCCGAACGGGGTGCCGGGTTCTATCGCTGACAGGATCTATTCCAGCTGCGGATGGTTTGTCTTGCGTCGGTTTCGACAGTGGTACCGAGAGGTGACCGTTTAGGGGGCAATTTCAAACTACTGAAGAACGTTAAAATTTGCATAGAAAAACCACAACAGCCAACATTGCTGGAGCTGGTTCTGAAACGTCCTGTAAGGGATACGTTTTTAAAGGGTTAGGAAATTATAGGGAAGAGAAAAGATTGGTAAAAAAAAAACAACCAAAACAGTTAATGTTAGCTTTACCAAATCGATCACAATAAACAAACAAAGGACGTTGCGGCGATTAGCCTTTATCAGCACACAAAGAACAATACAGTACACAATACACAAATATGCTCTAACAGTGAAGTGACTACATAGGACTAATGTACACCATAAATGATACTCATCTGTGACCCTGGCGAAAAACTTTCTTCAAGAGAATGCCAAGGACAGGTACTGGCCTATTTATCACCAACGTACGGACGGGGAGCAACAAACGGGTTCACTATAACTAGGAAATGGACGGAGTAGACGCAGACACTGAATGTCTAAAGAGGGAGGGAGGGGTTGGCCAATAAGACGTAACCCGGGTTGGGTCGTGGTGATGACATTGGCCTATCTCATGGAATAAAAGTGGTGCCTGTGCTAGCGAACAAATACCAACAGACATGCAGGCAGGCCGGCAGGCCGGCAGACAGGCATGCTGATAGATAGATGGATAGATAGATAGATAGCGATAGTGGATAGATAGATAGATAGATAGATAGATAGATAGATATAGATAGATATGATAGATAGGATATAGATAGGATGATAGATAGATAGATGGATGATAGATAGATAGATAGATAGATATAGATAGATAGATAGATAGATAGATAGATAGATAGATAGATAGATAGATAGATAGATAGATAGAATAGATAGATAGATAGATAGATAGATAGATAGATAGATAGATAGATAGATAGATAGATAGATAGATAGATAGATAGATAGATAGATAGATAGATAGATAGATAGATAGATAGATAGATAGATATGGATGGAGATAGGATAGATAGATAGGATGGGATGGATGGATGGATAGATAGATGGATAGATAGATAGATAGATAGATAGATAGATAGATAGATAGATAGATAGATAGATAGCTAGATAGATAGATAGATAGATAGAGATAGATAGATAGATAGATAGATAGATAGATAGATAGATAGATAGATATGGATAGATAGATAGATAGGATAGATAGATAGATAGGATAGATGATAGATAGATAGATAGATAGATAGATAGATAGATAGATAGATAGATAGATAGATATAGATAGATAGATCGTTAGGGGTGAATGGATGAGTGTGGTGGAATAGATGGGGCGGGTAGACAAATAGACGATAGATATGATGGATGGCTATACCCGTGGATGGATGGGAAGACAAATATAATTGGATGGATGGGTCGCCCTATATGTGTGCCAGTATATGAAATCAGGTAAAAACGAGTGTCTCAAGACACGATGCTTCTCTCTTACTGTCAGCTATGAAATAGAGATTGTGAGGGTGATTGTTATACAAAGTATCAGTCGAACCGAGCACAGAACTAGTAAAAACCCACGGCCAGCTCCAGATTTATACAGCCGGACGTGTAAAAACCAGAATGTAAGGGAGCAATGGAAAAATTGTAAGGGATACGCAACTTACTTTAAAAATATGTCCGCTAGACCACTGTTCTATAACCGATGGGCCGCGGAAAAGCCCAGGTGGCCTGCCAATAATTTCTGCCTAATCATGTAACAGGATAGGACATGCAGTTTTCTCTTCCACGATAGACTGGTGGGGTCTGCACCACTTGGCGGTGAAATTGATGAACGACAAGCTGGATGTTGTGAGGGCCCTTTGGGGGCGAGTGAACAGTGCGGAGGCGAAACTAGATCATTACGGTAAGAGCAGCATTGCGCTGCAAGAAGTTATCAGGGGATTTGGCAAACTCTCAACCCTAAAGGGAAATGAGAGATGGAAATACAATCAGACAGTTACTGGTACCATCGGAATTGGAACTCTTCGCTTGCTGCTGAAGATGGGGATGGAGCGCTTATGGGAGTGCTGTGATGTCGATTTTTAATTCAACATTCTCTTCCACGACTACTGTCTCTAGGATTTAATACCGCCAGGATGCGAATCAGACAAGTAAAAGTTACAGAAACCCAGTTCAATCCCACAAAACAGTACGTTGTTGTTTGTGTTCACCGGCTGTAGACACTAGCGAAAATACATGGTCGTTCGTCCATTGCTGGACCTTAGCCTTGTTCCAGGACTTGAGTTTTGCGTGTGCATCCATTTTACAGATCCTGATTATTTGTATGCAGACTGTTGGTTCCTTGCCTCTCAGACAGATGCACTCCGACTTTGAAGAAAAACCCCTCCCCCTCCATTTAGTCAATTCTCACGACATGCTTGTTGGGGAGGCAGTGGGTCGATTCTTGTTTTCCCCACAAT